TTTTATTTTAAAAAACCCTTAACGCGGATCTACCAATGGAGGAAAAAAAAAATTAATCTCTTAATAAAATTCTTAACTTGGATGATGGAAAATTTATATTTAAAAAATTGTTAAGAAACCCATTAGGGATTCTACCAATGGAGGTGGTCTAATGTCGGCTTTATATGGTCTCTTTACAACAAGCAAGTGAACTTGATATTTTAAGATTATACTCCCACATAGCCAAATGCAACGCCTCTTGAACAGGAAACACTTGCCTTGAGAATGGTTAGAATAAGGAAGCCAAGTAGCCAACACATGTGTTGATACCTTAGCTAAATTTGCTACGATAAACTCCACAAGCTATGTCATCTCCTGTACCAACTCCTAATTTGGTCTTTCTCCAAATGAAATCTAATAGTATGGTCACAAAATCTCTGACTAGCCAAAAGAAAACGACTAGATATCCAGTTCCACACACCACATGTAAACATATGCACAAGAAGACAAAACCATTGTGGATTCTTATCGCTTCAATAGTCAAGAAACCCACTTAAAGCATATTTGTTACAAAATCAAGTTAGGAAAATAATCAAGAAGAGAAATAAAAATGGAACTATTCTTCATACCATCACCTGGTGACGGCCATCTCCGGCCATTAGTGGAGGTTGCTAAGCTTCTTGTCGACCGTGAGGATCATCTCTCCGTCACCATCGTCATCATTCCTCCAATGCATGGATTCGGTACCGGAAACTCTTCCTCTTACATCGCTTCTCTCTCCACCGCCTCCGAACACCGTCTTCGCTACAACGTTCTCTCCGTCGCCAAAAAACCAAAATCCGATGATGACCCCAAAACTAGTTTCCTCTCCTATATCGAAAGCTTCAAGCCGCAGATTAGAGCCACGGTGGAAAAACTCACCGACCCGGCTCAAGCCGAGTCGTCGCCAAAGCTTGCCGGATTCGTGGTGGATATGTTCTGCACGGGGATGATCGATCTCGCCAACGAGTTTGGTGTTCCGAGTTACCTGTTTTACACCTCCAACGCTACGTTTCTTGGGTTGCAGGTACATTTTCAGTACCTTTACGACGTTGAGAAACTCGACGTCAGCGATTTGAAGGACTCGGAGACCACCACTGAGTTAGAAATACCGAGTTTGACTCGTCCTTTTCCGGTTAAGTGTATCCCTTCCGTGATGCTAAACAAGGAGTGGTTACCGATTATACTTGGGCAAGCCAGAAGGTTTCAAGAAACTAAGGGTATTTTAGTAAATTCGTTTGCTGAGCTTGAGCCACAAGCTATGAAGTTTTTCTCCGGTGGAGATCGTCCTCTTCCTCCGGTGTATCCAGTGGGACCCGTTATGAATCTCAAAACCAACGGTTCAGATTCGTCCGACGATAAGCAATCGGAGATATTACGGTGGCTCGATGAGCAGCCGAGTAAATCGGTGGTGTTCCTCTGTTTCGGGAGCATGGGAGGTTTCAATGAGGAGCAAGCGAAGGAAATCGCAGTCGCGCTTGAGAGAAGCGGTAACCGGTTCCTCTGGTCTCTCCGTCGCGCTCCGCCGAAGGGAACGATCGGTCCTCCCGGAGAATTTACAAACCTTGACGAGATTCTCCCGGAAGGATTCTTAGATCGGACGAAGGAGATCGGGAAGATAATCGGCTGGGCCCCACAGACAGCCGTGCTGGCGAATCCGGCGATCGGAGGATTCGTGTCGCACTGTGGATGGAACTCGACGCTGGAGAGTCTCTGGTTCGGCGTTCCGATTGCCACGTGGCCGCTTTACGCGGAGCAACAAGTGAACGCGTTCGAGATGGTGGAGGAGCTAGGGCTGGCGGTGGAGATACGGAATTCTTTCCGGTCAGATTTCATGGTGGCGGAGACGGAGTTTATGACGGCGGAGGAGGTAGAGAGAGGGATCCGGTGTGTGATGGAGCAGGATAGTGATGTGAGGGAGAGAGTGAAGGAGATGAGTGAGAAGAGCCACGTGGCATTAATGGACGGTGGATCTTCGAACGATGCTCTGCTAAAGTTTATTCAAGATGTCACTAAGAATATCCCTTGAATCCTTTCACAGATCTTACTAAAGAATCTTCTATGATTCCATGGCTATTATTAATTTTTAATGTTTACATAAATTGCATGTCTCATTTAGCTACTATTCTAAAGGTTGAGCATGATTAACGGTGATTTTTCACCTCGGTTCTTGCC